AATGGATGTTTAGGAGGTAGAAATTGACGATAACAATCAAAAAATGATGTTTTCCTCCCATATTGAAGTTGAAAAGCCTTAGTGTTCTCCATGAAATAAGGGCATGACAACTTCCCATGTGTGCTCCATCCAGATAACATGCCATAACTTGGAAAATCACTTATAGTCCATAATAATACAGCTTTCATGATAAAATTCTGTTGTTTGAAACTATCATAAGTTTTAACCCAATTTGTCCACAATTCCTTAAGTTCATCAATTAATGGCCTAAGCATGACATCAATATTTTTTCCTGGACTTTTAGGTCCAGCAATTATCATGGCAAGAAATATATGCTCTGACTTCATACACAATTCAAGAGGAAGGTTGTACACTGTAAGAAAAACAGGCCAACATGAGTAAGGTGTTGCAGAGCAACCAAATGGATTGAAACCATCTGTACAGAGGCCAAGGTTAACATTTCTAGGTTCATTAGCAAATGTTGGGTAAGTTTCATCAAAGTGTTTCCATGCCTCACTACCCACAAGATGAATAACTTCATCCACATCCTCACGGCATTTCAATGCCATGTCATGTGCTCTGCTGTTTTCCTAGACGTGTATAGTCGCTGTAATCTTGGGGTAATTGGAAGGTACCATAAAGATTTCCTTGGAACATCTTTCTGCCTTATAGCAGACATATTCCTCGGCTCATAACGGGATTCTCCACACACTAGACAAGCAGTTAAATTCTTACTTTGCTCATCATAGTACAAGAAGCAATCATTGACACAAATATCAATTTTCTTGTACTCAAGTCCAAGCACATGCACCATTTTTTTGGCATTGTAAAAATCCTTTGGCACCTTTTCTTAGTCCTTTGGACTCAACAACTTTTGACTCAATGACAATGCCATATCCCAATTAGCAGCACTCATATTATAAAGAGTTTTCATGTTTAGCACTTCTGTTATCCATGGAAGTACTGTAACATCCTGTCCCCCAGCACCTATATGAACTTCTGCAGCATGCAAGAGATCATAAAATTCTCTTGCCTTACTATTTGGCTCCTTAGCCATTGGCCCCTCATTGTATTCAGACTGTGCACCCATTACATCAACTACCATTTCATGGTATAATGCATCTACCATTTCATGGTATAATGCATCTATCTCATTTCTAACAAACTTCATAATAGAAGATTCCCCTTCAAAGTTTCTTACTGTATTGCTAGATGTCTCTCTATGAACATACCATGTATAATAGTTATTCATAAACCCATGCTTACACAAATGCACAGAGACAAACTCAAGATTCCCCCATTTTCTACATTTACATTTCAAACAATGACACTTAATTTGTGATTTTGCTTTGGTCTTGAAAATGCAAATCTCACAAAAAATTGCACCCCCTCTTTAAAATCATCGATAACAAAAC